CTCTGCTCTTTCAACAATACAACACATCACCGTCAATTATAGATAGCATCATAGACTAGGTGAGGTTTAGGCCCTACCTAGCAAAGTATGGGTCGTAGGTAAATTAGCCTAAGCATTAGTTTCAGTAGAATTAATGTATTACTACATGTAAGATTTAGATACTACATATATTAAATTTCAATAAAGAAACTGAGGCAAGACCTCACTTTTTAAAAAAAAAAAAAAAAAAAAATATATATATATATTTTAAAAATAGCTTTGTCAATTAATTTTTGAATATGAAAATTACCGAATAGGATTTTTCTATAAGTATGATTAAAATTAAAGAAAATTATATTAATCAAATAAATATTAAATATTACTTGTTCCATTTTTAGAGTCACCAAGAAAGAGTATATTCTGAATTTTATAATTGTGAGTGGTGACACCATGCATAATGACAAATTCCATCTGACAATAAGGTTTTAGCAATAATATTATATTCTGACGCAACTGCATTAGACTGTTTAGGAAAAAACTCTAGACATCCAATATATATTAGCTTAAGTAATATTCTAACAAAATTTCGTAATAAACCTGAAGCTAAGGCACTTGTTGGTATAATATCAACATTACAAGGAACTAAGGAAGAGCAAAATACACCAGAATTTAGACAAAAGATTCGAACAACTTTTTACAAATGTATTAATATATTAATTGAACCATTACATTTACAGTATAATTCTGGAGTATTATTAAATGTTAATAATTGTAATTTAAGATGTAATATAATGCTAGCTAGTATTATTGGAGACTGGCCTGAAAATTGCAAATCATGCTTAACTTATAGTGGAACAAAATGTACACGCCCTTGTCATACTTGCCTTGTAGAAAAGGATAAATTAAATATTATTAATTTACCAGTAAGTCAAAAAATTATTCGAACAAAGGATCAAATGCAACAATTCATTGCATTAAAATAAGGCAAAGATAATTCATTGCATGAAGAAACTAATAGTTTTTGGAATTATTTGTAAGTTTAAAATTTATTTTAGTATACATTAATAATAAGGTTTAAGCTTTTAATGTGCATTAATAATAAGGTTTAAGCTTTTTGTATATGGAAACCCCCACAGCAAAAAGAGGCATTGGGCTATTTTAAATTTTACTATTTAAATAAGTATATCTCATAATCTAGTGATTAGAATTAAATAATTTTATATTATTTAATTCATCTCATTGAGAAGAATTAAATAATATAAAAATCATTTAATTCTAATTATGAGATTATGAGGTATACACATTTAAATAGTAAAATTTAAAATGGCCCAATGCCTTCTTTTGCTGTGGGGGTCCCCATATATTAATAATAAGGTTTAAGTTTTTAGTATATATTTTATGAATTATATATATACTTATTTATTTATTTATTTTTGCTATAGAAATTTTAATATTTATACAGCACTATTCCTGAATGAATGCACCACTTAGACCTTAGACTCTTTAAACATATGATGAAATGTATATGAGATCTCTTGAAAACTTATGGAGGTATTGCTCTTGTTAATAAAATGGATTTAAAACTTGGATTAATACCACACCATCCAGGATTAAAAGTATTCAATAATATACTTGCGGATCTCGCTTTGTTTACAGCATCTGAGTATAAGTACATGATGAAAATTATATTATTTGTTCTTGAAGGTCTTTTTGAAAAAAATCAAAATGAACTACTCGTTCAAATGTTTGTTAATTGGAATAAAATGTATAATCAATCAAGACAATATAAATTTACACCAAGTGACCTTTACCAATTTGAGGTTTGTAATTATATTTTTATTGGTATAAAATAAATACAATTTATTAAATTAACTTATCAGATTATTGCTAGTGATATCATTCAAACTATTTAAGATAATCCAATATATGATAATTAGTTTAGTCAAATATTAAGGGTAGGGTGTACAAATTTCTAATTTCATATAAAATAGATTGTAGATCAACTTTGTGTAACCAATTTTATATGATATC